GTGTCATTCGTTACTTTAGCCACCCGGTAGCCCTTGGTGAAACCATAATTTATGGGGCCATAATACGGAAGGCGGTGTCCTTTCCAGCGAGCGTTACGGACGCGAGTCGAATACGAACCTACAGCGGCAGGGTTGTGAAACAAAGTATTCAATCTTCTATGAAGAGGCATAAAACAAACCTGCAACTCAGTAGATCATAGTTCAGGAACGATATCTAAGTACCATAGCACTATGATATCTCGTAAAGTGATTTAAAAGAAATAAAATCGTTATTTCGGCACCCTTTTCTTAAGTAATGTTTTGTTTCTTTTTTTGAATGTTGACAACCCTAGACTGCGGACTTTCACATGTGTGTTACATTATCTGATCATTTTATCAACTCGTAGGGTATTTTCATGATGTGTTTTCTCGGTAAATTTATTGTGGAAATTATTTTATGTCGATTGAAAGCGTATAGGTTCGCTGGACAGTATAGTATAGTGGCTAATTTGTTTTGTCTGCGGTTGCGGATATTAAACAATATTCTCAAAAGACCTGACACTGAATAGGTGACCAAAATTTAAAATTTAAAAAATTTGTACCTGTTGGATCTGCAGTCGTTAGTAGACACCAAAACTGACAACTATGCAAACATTAATTTGATTATATGTGTGGGATACAAGCTTCCTGTTGCCTGTGGACTGTATTTCCACAGGCATCTGGTTAAAACGATGCTAGTTCAGAGCGGGGTCTTTGAAATTAAACACTTCTTCAACTTCTTCAAACTATGACAACCGTGTATCCGTGTGTGAATGTTTATTGCACATTCCATTTTTCCATTGCACATTCCAATCCATTTTTTATTTACAATTTGCATTGCCGTTACTTACTTACATTAAACAGATTATTGGAGTGGGAGTACGCTATCCCGCACCGCGCGGGTTGGGAAGGTTGCTTCGTTCTACCGTTGGCGGTGCTGTCGTCGCGGCGTGGCTCGGTGTCCTCTACCCTTCCATTAAATGTTTTCTTTTTATAAAATCAATTTCATATCAGGCACTGCCTGCGTAGACGTAGACACTTTCTTTCTTATGTCGCGTTTTACACACATACTGATTGTCAGTCAAAAAGTTTTTTTTTTTTATCTAAACGGAAACCGTTTCATTAAACAAACAGTGGTTTAAAGGTCACAGCACACATATCAAATCGGAAAGGGATCGCCACCGTGTCGCCTCGAGCCGTTCAGTATTGTTTGTATGAAACTCCCTACTGCAACGCACACTAATTGGAATCTTAACGTAATCGCCTCGCCTCGGAATAGGCTCCGAACCGCGATGCGGTGCGTGGTTAGCTAGCAGTTCCCGTGCTTACGGCTCGTCGTTCCCGCGCTTACGTCTCTCCGTAACTGAGCTCACGGCTTCAGTACTCCTTGCTTTATTCATATCGTGTACCCAATATCTTTTTCTTCGTTTATTTTCTTTTTCCTCTTCATCAAGTGCTATGGCTATGATAGCCATCTCACGTATTGTAAACCGAGACATAACTGTGCGCAACACTCAACGTTTGGATTCAAACTGATTTGGTGCCAACCAGGTCATCCAGCGGTCGGCGAGCCGTAAGCGCGGTGTCGCCTAGCCATAGCCGAGTTGACGTACAGGAGCCGCTGCTACGCTTTGGTTACATGCATACGTTAGGTTGACGCCTGGTTGACGGCAAGGCGAAAGGCTATACGGTGACGATCCCTTTCCGATTTGATATGTGTGCTGTGACCTTTAAAGTGATTATGGCATTATAAAAAAAACAAATGGAACGAAATATTTTGTCAGTTTTGTGTAATGAGCTTTGATATTCTGTAAGAATACAAGCTCGAACACACCGTAAATGCTGTTAAATTTCAATCAAATAAAACCTTTGTTACCTTTTGAAGTAGGTAGGTTGTTTTTGATAGAAATGACATTTGATATTTGCTGTTGACTGAAAACTCTTTTGTAAACATATTATCAGTAGTATATTTAGCAAAAACAACGAATACAGATGAAATATCTATACGCGAATTTAGAAAATAAAAATAACAACGAAGTACGCTTCGCTATAATGGAACTGGTTTAAAATCTTCGTTAAATAAAAGTCACTTAAAAATACAAAAATTTCAACACCTTCAAATATTTATGTAGGTATTTACCTACCTATGTTAAAGAATTGAGTATCAAAGCACAAACGTGAAAGTTAAGTAAGAAGCGATGTCGACTTCGTAACAAAAGACTCTGCCTTAAAAATAAACATAATGTTTGTATCAATAATAGGGTTTGGCATGGAGGAGCTCGCACAATGGGATCGTTAGTGATTCGGGCGGGATCCGGTGGCTGGAGGGAACCGCCGCCGGCTCGAACACCGTACCGGGGCTTTGTGACACCCCACCCGTATGCTGATACACAATTTGCCGCTTTAGCCCACGTAGACCAGGGGATCATCATTCTATATTTCTAAAATATTGAATCTGTATTCTATATTTTATTCAAATTATTTTCAAATAAACTTATTTACTTTTGATATATCATATTCTTTTAGGTATGTTTTTTTTATAATCTTAAACCAGGCTTACTCTTCTTTAAGTAAGAATCGAGTTAAGTTCTTTGTCGTTCAATTGATACATAACTTCATTATCAGTTTGTCAATAACTATTGAAGCACCCTATCTAAGTGTAAATGGGACCTTAAAAATAATTAGAAAACTATCCTAAACACACTCTATACTAGGTATATTGAATTACGTGAATCTACATGTAGATACATGTATTGCTTTACGGTTCCTAGCAGTGATCAATCAATCAAATATACTCCATCAGATATATACATCAAATGTAAACGTTATTAATATCTCTAGCAGCATCCATGTATTATTGTAGATGTGTTGCAAATTATCCTTGCCGAAGTCCTTGCCAATCGGAAAAGTATTACACGTGTTTTGTAGAGAAACGAAACACGTGTGAAGTAGTGCATCATTTGTTGTCGCTTGTGCAAGTGTATTGAAGTGTACAGTCAACTTTATACGAAATATTGTAGTTTTAAATTATGTAATTACCTAAAAGGCATTAGCTTTTTTCTAAACAACTGGTCTTGTAAATAAGGCTATTTTCGAATCAAGTATATTTAACGTTGAGGAGCCGAAAAACGTCTGTGAGGACAATGCCTTGGGGTGCTCGAACCCCTTTTAGCATCCCGGAAGAGATATCGAGATAGATAGGTATATTTTTAAATGCTATACATAGGCATAGTATTGTTTCGCTGGCTATGAGTCTACTTGAAAAATGAGGCCACTTAGAATCATTATAACATTTAAATTTCATAAAATGTAATGTGCATGTCTCCTGGAGTACTTGTATCCTAACTTTCTGTTAGTAGATTATATTCAAGGTGGTTTTGATAAATATTTTCATTTCAACATGTAAACGGGGTTACGGTGGACTGGCATTGCAAGGATGTCATGTCTGTTTTTTATTATTTCGATTAAATATTGAGCAATTTGATGAAAATTGCTCAATATTTAATCGAAATAATAAATAATAAAAAACAGGCATTTTTGCGATTTAGATGCATAAATCGCAAAAGTTATATTACATAGCGTCCGGCAAACGCTAAAAGTGTTTTATCACTGGATTCCCGTCTTATACAATCTAATATAATGCAACGCGAAAGTTAAAAAGTTTATATACATTATCATTGACCGGAAAACGTCTACTACTGGACAAGGGAGGATTTTTTGAGATCTCCCAAAAATCGCCACGCTTAATGATTACATACTTCACTTAAATTTCAAATTTGAAAGGAGAACGATAAACTAATCAAATGGACTATCGTAATGTATTATATTTTAAGCGATGAGCTATTATCACAACTTTAAAAAAGCGCAATCGTTGTTTTAATGACGAACTAACAAGATGTCTTTCTGTGACAGCATATATTCAAATTTACGAATTACGTTTTTTTTTTCTTTTCCCACAGAATATGATATAATTATAGTAGCTTTTACTATAAGACCTCTTATATATTTTTATTGACCTCTTACATATTTTTATTGACTAATAGAATAAGACCTCTTACAGCGTATCTAAGAGACTTGATATCTCCTCGCGTTTCTCAGAAATATTCTTGACACAGACGTGCAATGAAAAGACAAGTGGTTCCGTCCCATTTTCTCTCTGAAGTAAGAAACCCTTAAATAAATGCTGATTAGAAATAAAGTCAACAAGACTTTCGTTAATGTTTCTTACAACACATTAAATCGACACTTGCTCAACGAACTTGACGCTTATAGTGTGAACGATAAAGTATAAAACTGTTCTAGCAAGAAAAGTTATTCCCCAGGCCCAGTTTTACGTTCTTCTCGACGATTCTATAAATAGTTCGTGATGAAAGCCTTCCAGTTTATGGTCAGTAAAAAGAAAACGATCTGCCGTAGTCCGTTTTTGCGTTTGTATGTAAATTAAAAAAAAACTTGAGAATGTATGGGAAAAGTTCCCTTTAGTTTTGATTTGAGCTGAGTCTGCATGAGGCTTCGTCATGTATATTTAGTCGGACTCCTAGGACTTTATTTTAAGCGAAAGCTTGTGATGATTTTTTTATCACGACTTGTTTAAGGGATCTGTTCTTTTCGCATTATGATTTTATGCCTTACTAACTTAGTTTTTGGCATAATTATTAATAAATTTCCATAGATCAGAGTTTGCCATTCTGTGGTCCGCGGACGCTTGAAGGAATGTGCGCCTAGTATAACAACTCAATAGCAAAGTTAAACATTACAGATTAAGATGCCATATATCAGCACGATATTTCACCTTATAGAGTTTTCAATATGAAAAATTCAAGACTTCGATAAAGTTGCTTAACTTCCACATTGTAAGCCCAATGCTCTAATCAATGTACCATTGAATTCCTCCTGAATTTTTATATTAATAATCGCTGTTACTTGCTCAGTTCTGATGAATGTTCATGTCCTGCTAAATAATACGTCTGTTTTCTTTTCAGATATACCGTACTTAGAGTTGGCGGAGCCAGAGGAGGGATACCATGGGCTGATCAGAGAGAACGAGACCCTGGTGGAGGTGACGCCTGTCATCAGAGCGAGAGGGCCGCTGTGTTCTTTCCTCATACTGAACAACAAACACCACGGGGAGGCACCGTTTGAGGTCAGTCGCTAAATTCAAAGTCAGTGTCGTTTGCTCAGTGTGGGAAAGTGTTTTTCAAACTTTTTGAATACACGACGACGAAATTTCTGGCGACTCTTGAGCCATAGACACAAAAAATCATATAAAAGACACGTATGACAGTCTCGCGTGCGACAAACAATTTTTAAAACGGCCTATTTAATTCAAATAAACCATCAAATCTTTCCTCTTTTTATATACTTAAAAAATACACCATCCTCAGGTACCGAGATGGCATTCGAAATTCGTTAGGTCTCGGGTAGCTCAATAGTTTAGAAGGCAGTCGCCAGGATTGCGAATTGCGTTGTGCCCCAGGTGTGAATGTACCTGGGACTGAGGATATTTCTTTTTCATCAAAGATATTTATGTTCAAAATGCAAAATTGTTCAATTTTTTTCTGCCACATATTCATGACTTTTATATATATGACCATATGCTAGCTATATTATTGGATTTATCTAGAAGGGCTGGCGGCCAAATCTAATTTTTGCTGTTCTAGATTTGGCGGGACAGTTGTAACGAAACGGATAAATCAATTTCCCATTATCGAAACAATGTGATAAGAAAAAGATTGAACCTCCTTTCGGCTAAAAACATTTACTGGAAATTGTTAAAAGATGGAGACCTAAATATATATTGTCATTCTGAGTGAATATGTTAAGAGTATGAGTATAAAGCCGATACCTTAGAGACGGTCGGCTGTCCAAAACCAAAGCCTAGCAAGTACATCTGATCTAATTATACAGGAGAAGACTTTAAATATTTTCTTCTGCCATTTAGAATAGTATTCCTTCTTTATACTTATCTTGATTTCTTACGAATAATTATAAATTGTTTTACTTTGTGGAATAGTAAAATTTAACATAAATGCATTTAGACAATTTTTATGTGCCTTGCTAATGACTGTTTTAGATACTTCAGAATATGTATGATACTAAACCAATAGCGAAACCTAGTAACATCTCTTCCTAGGTTTTTAAATTGGTTTCTATAAACGTAATGTTTTAGATCTAACATTAAATACCTAGTTAAGACATTTACGAGATTTTTGAATTAGATTCTTAATTATTTTTATATATCTAATGTCGCATTTCATCCTAGTAAGTAGCATAATGATAGTAAAAAACCAGAAGCTTAAAATAAAATAGTTTTATTATTGACAAACATAAGGTACATAATCATCTTGGGACATAATAGCACAATATAAAATTATACCCTTACATCTAACAACAGTTTAATACTATTTTGTTATTCAGTCTTATTCATAATAATGACTAAAGAAATCACAACTAACTAATCAACAACAACAAAAACAATAACTACTAATCATTGTCAAATCACAACTTTCTCTTATCTAAATAACTAAATGGTATTATTACGATTGTGACTTTTGAAAATACGCTCTTAAAAAGCAAATGGCATTTATAGTATCATCTCCAAGCCTGCTTCTGAGTGAACTACAAATATATCCTGATGCCGAAAACGCTCTCTCGGCTTCTACGCTAGTAGGCTGAACAGTCATGATATATTCATAGGCGAGCGTCAGGTACTCTCCTCTGATACCATCGGACTCGAAACATGCCATTGCTTTCTTCAAAATTTTTTCATAATCCTTTTGCTTATTGTCTGGTCTTTTCTTAAATATTTCTTTTTCTTGTTGAAGTTGTTTTTCTAATTCTTCTTTTAGCGTAAGTGTAGAAGCTGTGTCAGTTACAGTTATGGATGTTCCAGCTATAGATGTATTTTCGAAGACGTCACCTGCATACATTTCATAGTCTTCAACTGTACTGACTCTCTCTATTATTTTCTTTATTTCTTGGCGTATTGCAGCTTTTTTTGGCATGAAGAATGTTTGAGTACGATCTGTATTTTTGGCTTCTTGGTCGTACTTTTTCGGATTTTGTAAATAAATTAAAATTCCTGTCAAGTTAGTGCGGCGTTCTTTAATACGTTCATGTAGACTCTGAGTTAACTGGTTACTCAACACCGTATTTTTTTGTTGCAATTTATCCAAAATAAATTGAAATGTTATGTCCGCAGTTATAAGCGTTGACTCTCGCCTACACAGTGCCTCAACTCCCAATTTAAAAGGCTGCAAGCTGGCAATGAGATCATTGATTTTAAACCACTCATTATCGCTGAATTTAATTTCAGATTCAATATCGATTAATGCCTTATCGATACAATTCTTTAAGTTATAGAATCGTTCTAACATATTTAAAAGACTATTCCAGCGAGTCCGGCAGTCTAATATCAATGCCAATTCTTTTTTAGGGCCATCATGTTCCTTTACATATTTTTGTAAAAAGACGTCATTTTTAGTTGGTGACCGTTTAAAAATCTTGACCACTTTTCGCACTTTCTTCAATAAATTGTCATATGTAGAAGTCATTTCAAGTGGTGGTGAATTTATATTTACAGTTACGCCCTGTTCATTCGCGTCCAATCCGTCCATATCATCGTCGTCATCATTATCAGACTCCGTCGCAATTGAGGCTGCTGGGCATTCTGGTATTGGTGAATTGCTTTTCTTATACAGTGTATCAACTACCACTAGCTGCAAGCCGTGTGTAAAACAAAGCTGCTGGGAACAACGCAAAAGCTTGCCAACCTTCACCATCACACTAGCGCCGTCCGTTGTACATGCAATAATATCTGTGTCTAAGTCTAGACCAAAACTCGCTAGGCGTTCTTTTACTAAGCTAATGCAATGTTCTGCGATAGCCGAGCCTTGTATACGTACCAAACCCAGATTGAAATGATTTTCTTTCTGGTGAACGTTGATATTTAAGTATCGATGATTTTTTTGTGACGTCCATTCATCAAATGTGAGTGAAAATCTCTGTTTTCCTTTCTTGAGACGTTCAAATTCTATAATCATGTCAGCTTTGACTGTGTTGCTAAAGTTTGTTACGATAGATCTTATCGTATTTGGCGAGTTAGGTAATTTGTGTCCGCTTTTAGAAAATAAATCTCTTAAATCCGAAGATGTGCAAAAGGAACTTAAGGTGAATCCGTCTTTACATACCATCCTAGAGATCGTTTTGTCCATGGAGTTTTCTTTGATAACAAAACTGTCCAAAGTTTTGGGTTTCTTCTTTGGTACAACTGGTAAGGATTTTTCTCCAGTCTCATCGTTTCGAGAATTGATATCGATATTGTGTTTAGTCTTTAAATGTATTTTTAAGCCTTTGGTAGAACGTTGACTAATTTTTAGTTCATCTGAACACATAAGACATTTGCCACCTTTGTCACTTTTCTTGAAATAACGCCACAGACCTATACCAATTTGGGTGCCGACGCTGCCGGCGCTGCCGTCGCCATCACCGTCGCCTTTATTCTCTCTCTCGAAATTCTCAGTTTCATTGGACTTGGACATGATTCATTCACTCGTTACCTGGAAATATGTTTTTAATAAAGTCTAATGTATAACTATTATCATCGATAACAAATATTATGTGTTCATCAAAACAAAAATAACTTATACGTGAATAACCAACATTACATTATCATTACAACATTATATTGCTATTTACAGCATAATCTGCATTTGAAAGAGCACAAATAAAAAACTAAATCAAAATTAATAATATACTTATGTTGAACGCACGCTGGACCGTAGTACGAAAACACTGTCACCTACAAACACGACGCGTGCGACTGACTGCAAGAACACGAACCGACACGAATTCCCCCGCCAACCTCCGCCACTGTGCGAAACGGCAACGTCGTACTCGCGCTACTCGCTTTCTTACGCGAAACTACAAGAACGTTTTAGCGGAAAATTGTAATTAGCGCCATCCGCGGATCCGCGTTTTAAAGGTGCGGGATCCAGAACATTAATAAGTGGTGCGGGATCCCGCGGGAATGCTGGATCCCGTTTTGCGAGATTGCAATCACTAGTCATAAATCAACGGAAAATACTTTAAGTTTCATTATATACATCTGCTTAACTATCAACAATTACTATTACCTTGTTTTATAAAGAATGTTCCTCGAGCCAGCGACGAATTTTACTTAGACAACTTGTTTGAGTAAGAAAGTTTTCATCAAGTCTTCATCATCATTTTTCCTTAATGCTCTTGTTTATTTGGCCAGTTCCTACAATAACTTAAATCTATGACTTTTATTTTTTGCCTTGAACTATTTACATCAATTTTGTAATTTTCGAGAGCTCGATCAGATTTAGTTTTATATAACACAAACCTTTACTTTAAATCGTCTGGCATAACAGATTCATCTGTTTACTTTTTTTTTCTTCTAAATAAAAAAAAAACATTCATCGCATTTGTCTCCTTTAGCATGTTAAACGAAATTTTCATTTTTTTAATCTCCTTCCTGTAAGTTTCATCAAAACATTTGGCTTCCGGGTATTTCCTCTTAAAATCGTTGTGCATTTCGCGTATAGTTAGTTCTCTCTTCAAGTATTTTGTGAACGGTGAATTATGTCTATGATAGTGACTGACAGCAAGTTAGTAACTAAGAATATATTCTTGGAGTAAATTTTTGTTAATCTCTTTTCTTTTTCCGCCTCTTTTTTCTCAGCCAAAGATGCATATAATTGACCCTTCTTTAAAGCTTTTAATAATTCAGTTTTAGATCCATCGGTTCCCAATCCAAGTGTATCTAGAAAAAAACGCTTACAAATGGGAACAAAATCTTTTTTTTTTCCTGGCAGGTGATAGTAACGTGTTTCGTTTCTAGACGGAACAGCAGAAGTAGTATCAATCTTTCGTCTTTTTATTTCTGCCAATTGAATAAATTTATTTAAAAATGATCTCCTTGTCTGAAATTTTAAATTCCAATACTGTTCCCAAATAGCCAGTCTGTCCCTGCTCTGAAAATTTCAAACATTTTCTCTTGTACTTTCCATCGCAGAGCCTACGTAACATAGGCTGCTTCGTCATATGTTTATTTTTGAAAATGCTATCGTTTTGAGCATTATTTGTTGAGCGAATTAAAACTTGTCGAGGCGGCCGAGG